TAAACCAGGCTACACAGATTCATGCAACATATTAAACATTATTGGAATTGCACAAAACAAAGAAATGAATTAGTCATCCACAGAAATATCTTGATAGAGCTCATCCAGAATCTAAGGGCATTGTTAGATACATTTCTTTTCAACCCAGTTACCATGGACAAATACAATACTTGAATAGTACTCAGTAGAGTTTATACCTACACCAAGGCTCAATAGATTCCTTATGAAACCACAGATTCACTAGAACTGGATTTTTATTTGGATCTGCACCAAATTGCTTCCACCCATACATATCAATTCCATACACATGTCCTATTTTTTTTTATCAAGATCAATTTATCATTCTCTGAGAAATCAATGAAAATGTTTCTCACTATATTAAAGAAAATGAAAAAAATTCCTGTATTCGCATCAAAATGTAATTGTTTCTTTTGTGAGCTGCATCGCATCCTTCCACCAAGTCTCATGGAAATTGGTTCTGCAGTTTTTTGCATAATCCAGCTCACAAACAAAAATAAACAAATAAACCATGATGAAAACCTCCCTGGCAAGTAAAAACTTACAAACATCTATACCAACCACCTAAATATGTCTGAATTTATTATTTTCATTATGATTCAAACACAATTCTCAGAAAAATCATCGATGGTCCACAGCTGATCCAAAATTCACCAGGCTGAGTGTGGTTTTTCATGATTTGTTTCCGTGCATGTGTTAATTGGCCTCTTCTCTTCCTGATCTCCAAATTGAAATCACAGCATCAATGACCCACATCACAGCCGTACAGACAAATATCAACCTTTTATATCACAGAGCAGCTTTGTGTTTTTCAGCAGGGTTCATGCTTCCAATTTAAAAAGCTTTTGATGGGACTGGTTTTTGTGTCTTTGGCTCCTTCCTGGCTGAGCTCAGGGCTTTCACCGTTCAGGTCTGTGCTCTCTTGAGATGTTGCCATGACACCTATTTGGAATCTTTTGTCTGTTGCCAGCTAATTAAGTGTTAAGAAGAGAAAATTCAAAACCTTAATGAGTTTTTATTTGTCAGTGCGAGGTAAGCCTCTGCATTAACGCTTATACAGCTGTCAAAATTAACTAATTCTGTAACTTTTTGTTATGTTGAATTCTACAACTGTACAAAATTAATGTTTTTAATTAGTGACACTTTTGATGCCACTGCAGTGATACATAAATAGCAGCTTTTTTAAATACAGGAAAGCTCTTGTTGAGCAAAACTAAGAATTCTAGATCAAATATGAGAGACATGTATATTTATATATGGAGCTGTCCATCCATCCATTCATTATGGATACTGATTATCCTTTGAGAGGTGAGGAACACCCTGGACAGGCCGTCAGCGTATTTTGGGCTGATGCACAGAGAAAAACAACCATATACTTTCACATTCAAACCTAAGGGTCCCGGTCAGCTGACAATTAAATGTTATAGGAGCTTTAAAGTTATTTTTGTAGTATTTACATCCAGAGAGTGTGTGTTCAGTGACAATGAGGTAAGTTAAACCATGTTGAAAGTATTAGCAGCATAAGTCAATTCTCATACTCTGATGAAGGTCTTTGTGACAAAAAGCTTGGATGACATGTTGAGCCTTTTTTAAAATGTCATCCCATTTTAACCAAATGCCTGATGTGTGTAATCTCTCATGACCATTCAAATCAACACAGACCATAAAAAAAAAGAATTTAAAAAATCCTCTTAAATCAAACACTGTCACATAATTTTGTCACATCATGGCAGCAGTTTCAATTAAAAAGTTAGAACTGACAAATGAATACCAATTCAATCAGGAGAGACTCATGAAAGAGAAAGTTTGAAGTAAATTGAATTTATTGAGAACAGGAGGAATGTAAGAACACGGCAGGAAGGAGATCACTATGGGAAATGGTTCTGAATATTAGGTGCTTTACTGTGAAGGAAACTTCCCTGGAGCTAGTAGACACTGGTGGTGGTGATGAAGAATGGAGAGGAGGTCGGGACGTCTTCCTGTGAGGGAAACAGAGGGTCTGATTGCTGAAGTAGTGAAGGGGTGGACATGGTTCACAAAACTCCACGGTACTGAAACGACACCATATTGACAGCAGAGAGAAAAAACACATTTAAAGTTTGACAGCTTGTACGTGATTGGCTAAAGGCAAGTGTGTTAGGTTGTGATTGGGTGGAGAGGAGAACGAGCTGGTGGATCTCAGGGATGGTGGTTTCAAAATTCCTGAACTCTTCACTATCAGTGAGTGGGCGTGTTGATGATATTTCTAACACACGACGTGAAAAGGACTAAGAGAATATCCCAGGGTGAAAAAGAGGATGAAGCCGATGAAGACGTCATTTTGAAAGAAAATGGGAAGCCTGAAGCAAAAACTTCAGAAAATGTACAGAGAACCAAGATTTCTAGACATTTTCCCAAAATTTCATATCTGACAACAGTTTTAGAAAGCATGCTCAAGGAAAACCTTGTATTTTAAATTTGAACTGTGATCTTGTACAGTGTAAATGAGCTTTATTGTTGGAAACATTAAACCAGAAATGATTCAGGATAAAGTATAAAACATGTAAACCCATAAAAAATTGAATAGAAATGATATAATGTCACTTATTTCACAATGGGAATTATAGTAAATAGTAATTGTACAAATTTGATTAAATATGTTAGATGATGATGTTCAATTAAATTTTATTTCATAGCACTAAATCCTAACACACATTATCGCAACTTAAATTGGGATTTTATCAGAATCATGTCGACATAAAAAACTTTTTAATGCAATCCCAACCAACAAACCAACATTAACATTAGGTGTGTTTACATTTGAATAACATCCCCCCACAAAGTATTGACTTATAATTCACCATATACTGCAGTCTCATGCAGAGCTGGCCTACTTCATGAATTTCCTCAGATAAAACTGCAAATGCTTTGCATATAAAAAAAAGCGATTCAAGATCTCTACATGATACTGGCTATATATAAATGATAAGGCTTGTCTGCAGAATGTGAACCCCACATCCCACAGCTTTCCCAGCCTGTGTGAGAGATGAAAGCAGCCCTGTCTCTGTGAAATGTTTTGGCAGCTCTGTTTCTGCCAGCAAACTGGCTTTTGCGAACTTTCAGGTGGCATGGGAAAATATAGTCATAAATAAAATATAAAGCCATGAATAATTTAGCCGAGCATTGTGATTGACACGAGGGTGAGGGTACCTGATTATGCCTCACCGCACCGTGTGACTTGTATTACCGCAAATCAAAACATTAAACGTGGGTTCGGTATTTGTCTGCACATACTGTATTTTGATCACCGCTTGTAACGACAAAGACTGTTGTGATGCTGGATGAAATGCCTTAAGAATGTGGCTCTATTTAATTAAAACCCTGCTAATGCCCTCTGTTGTGAACTATTAAAAATGCAGACATAGTCATGTCAGGAGTCAAATTAGTTCACAGGCTCTCAGCATCTTCCTGCCAGAATATTCTCATACAAGTCTATTAGAGTGGTGCACTGGCCACTGATATTACTGACAGTTATGCAGCTTTTAATGCTTTTACAAGATGTTAGAATGAAATGGGTGCATCTATGATGATCATCAGTGATCATCCTTCACCCTGGACCCATGTGCTTAATAAGGAGCTTCCTCCATTGTTCTGTGACGAGGAGGAGCAGATCAATGAATCCCAGCACTCGGCTGCAGG